GCAACCGGTAACTGGGGGCTCGGTTCAGCGACCCCAGCTGCACCCCGGCCTGGCCGGCCCCCCGCCTGCCCCGCTGCATCGCCGCGCTCAGCTCTGGGAAGTTGGAAGCTTTAGGGCTCCCTCCTTGGAAATGTTTCCCGTTTCTGCGTGTTTTGGTGGAAGCAAACGGGGCAAAAAAAAAATAAAAAAAAAAATAAAAATCAGCTCTGGTTGTTTTGGGTTTAAATGCTCTGCTTATGTTCTTGCAAGCCGAGCAGCGCGGCATTTGCATGGGAATTAGGAAGTGAAATCGAGTAGAAACAAATGAAATGGGGTACTTTGTCCTCCCTACCCGGCAGCCACCGTGTTGACAAGCGCACGGTAAACTTGTCATCTGTTTTTGAACAAGAACAGGTTTTATTGGTGGAAGGGAAGGGAAATTTCCTGGTAGCAAGGGCGTGCGAGAGACTGTTTAACTTTATTGAAGGCTTCAAAGATAAATAATGAATAACATTAACATGAGTTCTGGCTATCTGCTGTGCAAGCACGCTGCTTATCTCGCAAGTGCCTTTCCCTTCTTCCACCGGAGTTTTGTTCCAGGGCAATGGTGTTTTTTGTCTGTTCGGCCCCCTCACCCAGCAAGACGTAACCCTGGGTGCTGGGGGGTGCCGTGATTGAGGGCAGCTGCGAGCTCCCCTGCGAGGGGGTCAAGGCCCGAAACTTGGAGCCACGCTTTGGGGAGCGAAGCGCGTTTTGCCACGTGCACGCGAGGATGCCGCTGCTCGCTTGCAGAGCCGGAGACCTGAATCCTGAGAAGCACCGGGGTGGGAAGTCCCAGCCGTATGGTGAAAACCAGCCCGTGTCAGCTCTCGTGTTGGGGCGTGCGACCTGCCGGCGTGGGGTAAATAACAGCGCGTGCTGATGCCCCTTCCCGGGGTGGAACAGTGCTGCGAGACTTCCTCCCGGCTTTCCAGGCTATAAACTGATCAAACCCTCTGCCGTACAAACTGATGTTTCCAAATATAAACTGTCGCGCTGGAGCTGTAGATGTGCAGGGACTAGCGCTTTCTTAGAACATGCTGAGAATGGCATACTGTGCATTTTTTTTTTTTTTTTATTCTTTTAAGGAAATATTATAGACCTACAAACCTAATTTTGGTTTCTTATTTGCCCTGTGGGGAATTAAGAGTGGGTTTAAAAATGGTAGCTGCTATCTAGGGAAGATCCCGATGGTAGTTTGGAAAGGAGGCTCCTGCTGCCCTTGCCGAGGCAGGTGTTGCTTGCTGCAGGTGTGAGGTTTCCAGCCCAGCCGTCCTTAATGAAATCGCTTTCTGCCTCCCCCACCTGGCTGCTTCCCTGGCTTTAGGAGGAGCATGAAGGGAACTGGCCGAGTTGGATGGCTTTGGTGGTCATCACTGCAAGAACCCGGTCGTCGGAGCGAACCGGCATAGCCTGGCCAAAGCTGAGCCCGCCAGGATCATAGAATTGTAGAATGTTTTGGGTTGGAAGGGACCCCTAGAGGTCACCCAGCCCAACCCCCCTGCAGGAGCAGGGACACCTTTAACCACAGCAGGTTGCTCACAGCCCCGGCCAACCTGGCCTGGAATGTTCCCAGGGATGTGCCGAGCCGTCGCCTGGCGTGGGAGTGGATGCTGTGGCAAGGCTCAGCTGATGCTCATCCTCGGCCAGGATGGGACCCAGATCAATCCAGACTTGAGTCTTTATTCTTGCTCTTATGTCTTTGGTGTTTCTCTGGCAATTCCTGGATTTGGGAATCTGGCTTCTCCCCCAGGGTAGCTAAAGACAGGGGGGCATCTTGTGCTCTTTACCTCCTGTGCATCCACAGCGCTGGCAACCCGGGGAGGAGAGAGGACGGGGTGGGGGGGGTCCTGTGCCCGGCCGGGGTGGGGACAGATGTCCTGCAGTGCTGCAGCTATCGGCGAGCAGTTGGGTCTCTCTGGGCCCAATTTCAGAAGAAGAGGGCAGGAACCCGTCTTTGTCACCCAGCTGTGATGCGTTCAGACAGGGGTTAGGGATGTGCAAGACAGAGTGTGCCTAGAAACTTCAGAGGTTGTTTTTGATGATAAATGCACAATTCTGCCTGGCTGGCTGGGCTGGCTAACCAGCCGTCTGCCTTACTCCAGAGATTATTATTTTTTCTTTTATTATTCAGTCAAAATGCCAGGGGGCAAGACACTTGTGCTCGACTTGAAACACCCAGTAATATTCTGTCATCTACCTTTCTCAGTGAATTAAATGGGGTTGTGCAGGTGTGTAATGAGAAACAGATTTTTGCCGCAGGTGAGCATCGTTTCAAAGGCCAGGGGTGAAATCACATCTCTCCGCAAAGAAAAGCTTTAAGATCCAGACACTGTTGTGTGTTTGGTGAGGTTTTTTGCTGTTGGTTTTTTTTTTTTTTTTTTTTAATTTCCCCCCC